TATTAGTCGCTTCCGCTCCCCCCCACACTTGCTACCTCTATCAGAGAGAGTCAGCAAGCAGGGGAGCAGAATCCGGTGCTGGGGGGAACCGTCTTAAAAGCTGGATCCCCCAGCACCATCTCTGGGAGGGGAAGGGAGGGACACAATGGGGAAATAGTGGTGCTTCCGCCTTTGAAAAGTAGCGAGAGCAGGGCTCTTGCTACATTTTAAAAGCAGAAGTGCTGCAAGGAGTGCGGGGCCGGCGAGAGACTGCTTGAGTCCCCTGCTGACTGTGCCTCCCATGGCTGGCAGGGCTCTTGTTACATTTCAGAGGCAGAGGCACCCTTATCAACTAGTCAATGCAAATTACATCAACTATTCAATTAGTTAGTTAATCTAAATTTAACATCCTTAGCACATGCCTGACTCAAAGGCCATCCCCTGCCTAATTTCGAATCTCTGCTCCAAAGCTAGAGTTTCTCAAAGAAAAGGTTGTCAAAATGTTTTGTAACATGGACAAAACAATGTGTTTATTTTTAAATCTCTTTTTCAGTAATGGCTGAATCGTTTTAGTGGAAATAAATAAGTATTCTGAGGCAGACATTGTGTATGGTAAACTTCAGCCCAACTGGTTAAAGTTTGGCAGAGCTACAAGCAAATGAAAACTAAATCTTATAATGGGAAATATTAGGCAACCTTAAATATAGGCAGCATTACCATCTCTGCTTATAAATGTGTGAGGCTGTTAAAATCCAGTTCACCAACACATCTAATATTGTGTTAACCACAGTTTTTATAAAAAATAAGTTTTTATTTCTGTAGATCTCCTTCCAGTGTATTGGAGTTCCCAACAAAACGTTTTATTGACTCTTCTAATGAAAATAATTTCTTAAAAACAGATAGTTTATATAATGCAGCATGTTTGACAATACTAGGGGCAGAAATGACTATATTCAAATTAAAAGGACAGTTATTCTTTCAAAAAATTCTCTGCACTTGGACAGTGAAAGCAAATAAAGTAGTATTTTGTAGTGCTAAACTTCTAGGATTTAATAGTGCTAAACATTAAAAAAAATTTAGTACTAAAACACTGTCAATATTTTAACTTTGAATGAAGTTATATAGTTTGCACAGTCAACCTGTGGAACTCCTTGCCAGAAGATGCAGTGAAGTCTAGAACTTTAACAGAGTTCAAAAAAGAGCTAGGTAGATTTATGGAGGTTAGGTCTATCAATGGCTATTAGCCAGGATGGGTAGGAATGGTGACCCTGGCCTCTGTTTCTCTGGAGATGGGTGATGGGAGTGAGCACGTGAGGATTACCTCTTGTGATCCTTCCCTCTGGGGCATCTGGTATTGGCCACTATTGGCAGACAGGATACTGGGTTAAATGGACCTCTGGTCTGACTCAGTATGGCCTTAAAAATTTTTCCCTTAAAGCAGTCACTGTTTAATGTGCCTTATCTTGTGGAGGGTAAAATACCTGATTAGGAATGCTGGCCATCACACACAGTCTTTCCTCGAGATGGATGTGAAACCATGAAAAAGAAAGTAATAAAGTATCTTTGGTATCCAGTCTATGTAACTCATCCAAGCAAATGTAAATCAGAAGTCCCCAGGGGACAGCTCTCCTCTTTAGAAAAGCAGGAATTCTCTTCATTTGATATAGAATGGGATTCCAAGATAAGGACAAAAAATTGAGCAACAGATGAGGATTCAGGATTAAGGATTCCATTATACTTTTTTAAACGTTCACCGTTTAAATATATTGCTAGTGTAAATTTTTATCAGAAGTTGTAATGGACAGAAAAGTAGACAATTCTCTGAGCAGGGACTTCAGAGCATCAGGATATTCAGTGCAAGCCATCCTGTCAGCTATATGTTTAGTTAAAAATAAGGGGCAGATGCCTACTTATTTCTCCATGCACGGTGGGTAGGGCACCGACTGCTTGCAGCACTTGGCATTTGCCTCAGCACTGCAGCAATAATCCAAGGTTGGTGTGAAGGAGAAGATGCTGGAAAAAGAATTTACTCTGCAGATCTGGCAGGGGAGATACTGTGATCACAAAGGTGGTTTTCCCAGAGTGAGGCTCATCCATTGCACGGCAGATGTGCTGACCTGTAATTTTCCCCAAATGAAGGAAACTCAACTGCATAATTTGTGGTGGCTCCTGTGCCATTCAGGTTTTGACGTTTTCAAACTTATTAGTAAATTTAATTGAATCAAATCCAGAGCAAATGGAAAAATATATTTAGGTACAGGTAGGCAACACCCAAGGTATGTGGAGTAAACAGTATTAGTATGCTTGAACCATCATCTCCCATTGACTATCTATTATAGGCTCTGCCTTTATCTCTATATCCCTGTGCCTGAGGTTCTTTCATTGAGGATATTCCAGTCCCCTCAACTAAAGGTCTGTCATTTTTACTCTGTTACTTTGAAGTCTAGGCATGAATAACCTGGTAACTACTAATCTGGCATAAATGATATAGTTGACTTTGAAGCCCAAATACCTTCCCCGCTATCCATCCCAATTATTTAGTTATAAAGATGATTAAGGTTTCATGAGTGAAGACTGTTACATCATCTTTTACTGAAGATACATATGTCAAAGAAATTCCAGGAATTTTTAAAAAGCATATTGATTATAATTAGGTATATGAGCAAATATCTGAGTACATGGTTCATCGGTCAACCCTCACGGTTACATGCACATCCCCCGCTACCCATCTATCAGAGGCAGCTGGGGAGGGAGGCAGAAGCCCAGTGCATTTGCCACCCTTCCCTCACTGCTGCCAACCACGGAGGCAGCAGTGCATGGAGGGGAGAGGTTGGGAGCAGGTGCTTGCGGGGAGCTGGCTTAAAAGCCAGCTCCCCGCAAGCACCAGTTCCTGTGGAGCTGTCTGCCTCCCGCACAGCTGAGGGTAGAAGAGGGGAAATGGGAGCCAGTGCCAGTAGGGAGTTGTCTTAAAAGCTGCTTCCCTAGAGCACCAACTCCTGCGTCTGCATGCCCTTTGCCCCCCTGGCATGTAAATATGTAACCACTGAAAAATTCAAATGGTTACACCATTACACAAACACATTGTAACACCCCTAATTATAATGACAACTAGATAGTGTAGGGTCTGTTTTTATAATGAAGAGTAAAGAAGGAAGAGATGGGCTCTGTCAGAGAGATGCCATGCTTATGGGTTTGCTGCCCTCTGCATGGAGTGGAGAAGGCCAGAAGGGGCTGGTAGCTCCAGGGTATTTCTATGTAGTATATCACTGTAGTTTTGCATTAGTTGGACATGTAGAACAGTTAAGACATTTGTATTCTATGGTCCAGTAGAGACATAATAAGCATAATCCAGTCTCCTTCCCCAGAATTTACTCCTCCTGTGTTGTGTAATTGTGTACATGTGCTGTATAAGAGACTGGTTATGCAAAAGTGTTGTACAACACAAGTATAACATTCAGTGTAGGAAGCTTTAATTATCATTGTAATAGAGACCTGGAAAAGCAGCGGAGCCGCTACCTTCCCCACATAAACTAGTACACTCATCTGCTCCCAGGACCTTCAGCTCTTGAGGGAGACCCCCTTTCCTGAGTCCTTGCTGTTCCTTCCTTCTTTTACTACTCTCCTGTTATCTGGAGGCTTCATTAGGAGAATGGATTTTATGATCTTCCTCTCTATGACCCATATTAGCCCTCCTTGCCCTTTCTCTTAGGGTAGCCAGGATAAATTTGACATTGGATCCCAGACTATGCAAGAGCGCAAATACTTAAGGGACCTGGCCCAGTAGTGGTGGTACAGGGTCCCCTTCTCTCCTCTTCCACTGCCACCACTCAGTAGATCTGAGCCAGGTTAAACTTGCTGGCTCCAGGCTTAATGTTGGTCCATGACACTGAGAGGAGCTGCCATGAGTTTGGCCGATGAATTGGGATGTTGATGCCAGCTGTGTTCTCAGCTATGTTAGTTGTGCACATTTGGGCCTGATTTCTGCAGGTGCAATTGCAACTTGGGAATCTGCAACAATTTACCAGTGAGCACCCATGAACGAGTGCGATGTCCTGAGAACACCATTGACACCACAAATAATGAGTTCCATGGCTTCACCTTTCATGGAGGGTGCTTTTGTGATGTGATATGCGCCTTTCTGTTCAAGGCGTGCTTGTCAGTTCTGTGGCTCTCACTGGTGTCTGTACTCTGGAATTGAGACATTTACTTTGATCAGCTCTTTTGTTTCTCCAAGTTCACAGGAATACAAATGTAATGGTGAAGATAGACGTGTACAAGGCCAACAAATCCAAATGCTGTTTAGCAATTCCTTACAGGGCAGGCAAAAGAGAGTTCACACCCTCAGTCCAGGTTGTAGATATCATTTTGTTCTAGCTATAATAGTTCTGTACACAGAGAGGTGCAACTATGTAAGTGCAATGAATACTGGAACTTAAGCCATTGGAAAAAACAGTTATCAGGTGCTATGCAGCTTCTCTTTTCAAAATTTCACCCAGTAAACCAAACTGGATTATGAGGTCACAATTTCCACTTCCTTCTCCAGTGTCAAGCACATTATGTTCCATTTTCTTTATTGCATACAATAAAAGAGATAGAGATTGTGCGGTTTTAGATCTCAAACAATCCAAAAGTTTCCACAAAAATGACAAACTTCAGGATGGAGACAGCCTTAGTTCTTGTAGTGTACTCTGGAGATTTTGTAATTTCAGTAGATTAGGTTGAGTTTTATGTATGCCGTCAACACCATTGACAACTAAATCTTGCCTGTTTTGAAGCATCACTGTCATCTTCTCATCCTGCTCCATGAGTATTGGCGGTAGTGTAGGACACTTATGTGACCAATAGGGAAAATGCCTGTATTATTTTTTATAAATATTCTGTATGACCCTGTTTCTCTGTTCAGTTGTGTATTGCTGACTGAATACATAAAGTCAGAGGAGCCTGTAAAGGGGTTGTTTACAAAGAGAACAAGGAGAACAATGACCCAGTTAAAGACCATCCAGATTAGGAGGCTTTACTTTTTGCAAGCCTAAGACTGGCATCAAAGAAGATCTAAAAGCACCTAGAACAAGTGGGTTTTGGGGTGATCCAGAAGAGGCTTTGGGTATGCCAGTGAAATAAATAGCAAGCTGGGAAGACTCAATCAAACACAAAGCAATAAGACTGCAAGCAATTGAGACTCTTTCTCCTAAATCAGAAATAAGGAATAAGACTCACCAGAGCTATAAATAGAGAGCCTTAAGATCAAGTAAGGAAATGTGTGGCTTTTAACAGTGTTATTTTGCAGAGGATGAGATGGGTAGCTGTTTCTTTGAGATGAGTGGTATAGTCCCTGCTACAGTTAAGAGGCAGGATTTTTTTTGAGGAGATAAGCATTTGAATTGCTTCTTTCAAGCTCACAGCATGGGCTAGAATTTTCCACCTGCTCCCCAAAGAATTAGATCTAGAGAAATGAAATTAAGTTGCAGTGCTTGATCTTAAGATAGAAAGTTTGAGAGAAACAATGGCTCATACTCCCTGAAGAAACACAGGCATGGTTGGGTGTTTTGTCGTTTTGTGAAGAGAGCTGCTAACAGCAATCACAGAAGATAAGGAGTACCTGTCTGTGAAGAAAACATCTTCTGACATGGACAAGGTGATGAGTAAGATATTCCATATGTATTCTCTGCCCCAACATCGTCTATTGTGTTTATCCTTTTTTCCAGACAGGCTCTGGTATTCCGTCATCCAGGATCTCTAGAAGATAAAGGAGATTAACAAGCAAGATCCAAGAACGTGCAAATTCAGGTACATAACATCAGTTGCCCTACACTTTCGGTATGCAGGTGCCAAAGACACTTACAATGCATGAAACCCTGGAGAAGCTGAAAGAAGTATAATCATGACAGCCCTACCTTTGGATAGCTGATCAGTTCCTGATTGAATTTTGTCGTACCTTTCAACTGTTAGCAGCGCTCTTGTTCTGAGATACAGTTTCTACTTCCAGGTGAGTTACATGATTATGGGCATAGTAAATCATTAAAATAAGGCTTCCGAGAGAGGCTTCTAGTAATATGCTTATTTTCAGTCTATTGAAATCTTTTTCTTAGTCACAATGACATCTGCTAGATAATTTTCAGAACTTATAGCCTTACTCCGGAAAGAGCCTCATTGTGTGTTTCGTGATGATAAGATGGTCTTTAAAACAGCATCAGAGTTTATTCCCAAAGTGGATGCTTCTGTTGACGAGTCTCAAGATTGAATTTTTCTTATTGAGTGTAAGCTAAAGCCACCTGCAGAAATAATTACTTGAAATATGACAAATCAAGAGGATGACTACTTCGTTTGTATTCAATTGAAAAGCAAATGGAGAAAATAATGGAAATTTTGTGTCTGAATAGATGAGATGTATCTTAGAGGATTGTAAATGGTTAGATAAAATGGTGTCTTGAGGATAATGAGGATTTTTTTTTCACAACATGACTAGATCCTGAACAGAGAAAGAACATGGCTATATCATGTTTCAGTTGAAAGAAATTAGCAAAGGATCTCTTCTGTTACCACTCTCCTCACTTCCTACATATAAACCAAGCCTTCAGACATCTTGATGTGCCTTGTTGGTATGAGCTTGTTTCCCATTAGTGAAGATACTAAAGAGAAGAAGGAAAAAATTAATTATCCTGTGTTTTTCCATCAGAACTACCACTAATATTTTTCTTTAAATTCAGAAGCTTTGTTATGCTTAATACCCCTTGAAATGAGCTTAATAACCCTTGAAATGAAATTGTGTTAAGATTATTGATTTTTCTCATACCTCATGGTTGGGTGATATTTAAAGAGTTTAATGAGTATTAACTCACCTAATTGTGAACTCATTCCTTCCTAGGACCTTAACTTAGTTTGACAAGATTCATGGGTCACCCCCTTTGAACTGTTGGTGTCTCTTGGATTTCATTGTCTGCTAAGACAGTTTTCTAGGTAGCAGAAACGTGGGAGAAAAGAATAGGAGAGCTAAAAGCTTTTATGTTGGCCATGACAAATTCAGGCTGGAAGTTAGAAGACTATTTCTAACCATCCGTGGGAAATTGTTCTCCCAATACAAGTTGTGGGAGCAAACAACTTAATTAGCTTTAAGAACAGGTAGACCCACTATTGAGTGTAGTTGGATGGGGCTGTTTGTGATGGGGCAGTGCGCAACGGGGGGTGTAGGGGGGTATCACTTTCTGTTTGTCAGGGCTACTCCACATGCGACCTGCAGCCCATTTGTTTGTGGCCTGCAGTGCAGTTTGGGTTTACGTGAGGCTAATGCATGGCCTGCAGGTGGCATCCTTTGAACATGGCCTCCACTGGAAACATACTCCACAGTGCTGAGGCATCTCCTACACAGGGTGAGCACTGAAAGACGCAAGAGGATGGTCTGGCTGGAACAGATGGTACAGGGTGTCGGCATTTCTAGCCCGCAGGGAGGAGGAGCCGCGAGTGCTAGGGCATTGTGTAAAACAAGATACTAACATGTATTTGCGCATATATATATATATATATATATCACAGAATCAAAGGCACCAAAATAAAAATAAACCTTTCTACTTCCAGTAATTGCAGATATGTAGCTATTGTAACTATTCTGTGACATATATATTGAAGCAAAACTGTTGTCTTTCCTTGGAGTTCTGTATAAAAACGGATGGCAGAGTATGGTTTCTGGTCATTAGAAAAATCTTTGCTCCTTATGTCATGTCTTCAACTGATGATCTGAAAAGGCAAAAGATCTGGTTGAAGTTTAAATTATTGTAAAGTATTAAAGAGTGCAGCAAAATAAATGAAAACAATAAACGTGTGTGTTTTTTACACAGAATTCTTTGGAAATTAAAAAAACATAACGGGAGGAGTGCTGGAAAAAAGGATAAGTCAGAAGATTTGGACATTGGATCAGAGGATATCGGATATCTCTGTAATACAACACTTAAAAAAGTATGTGAACTGTTTTCTTCTGTTAGTAAGCCTGAGCTAAAAGTCAGCAGGTCATTTTACCACTAACCATGGTAACATTTGTCATTTAATAATTTTCCTTACTGTTGAAATTTATGGTACAATGTACTAACTTTCTTAAAATACAGGTTTTTTGTCCATCTATCAAACAGAAGTAATTTCTTGTTTTGTTTTTGTTTTTAGAATGTTATATTGCAGTGGCTGCTGGAGGGCCCCAAAGAGGATCGTGGTTCTTTTGTGATAGGCACTGCATAAATATATAATGTGACATGGCCCTGCACGGAAGAGCTTACTCTTTTCAGATGACAAGTGAGATAGGAGGCCTAAAGAAAAAGGAGCACAGTCAAAGATAGACAAATGTTTGTTATTTACAATTGGATGTTTTTCTATCTAATATAGATAACATTTTGAATGTGTGGTTATAGTGGAAAAGCAGAGTCAAATGAATGTATCTTACATTCTAGTATATTCTAAATGGTTATTGTGGGAGTAAGGTTTGTAATGGGCCATGTAGCGAAAAAAGTCTGTCTCCCTTCATATTTTTGTTAGTCAGTTTCGTTGTTTTAGTGGAGCACAGCTGTTTACAGAGCATCCATTCTGGAAGGTGAGATTTTTGCCTCAAGTAAATTGCAAGCTCATGTGGAGGGTTTTGGGCATCAGTGCCAAAGCCTTGAACTTGACGTTGGATGTGCTATCATTTGTATATATTGTTGCTGTAAAGAGTGAGATGATCACTGAGCTGTCCATGACAACAGCTACAGCCATAAAGGGAACAAGCTATTTTAGTATTCATAAGGAATGGATTGGAAACTAATACAGATGCTGTTAAAATCCTATTATATAAACCAGTGGTATGGCCTGGAATATTTTGTGCAGTGTTGATCATCCTTTTTCAAAAATAATATTTCAGACCTGGAGGGGGGTTAGAAAACACTAACTTCCGTAAAGATTCCATTTGTACCTCTTGTAGTAAATTTTCTCCTCAAACCCTCAAAAGTTCTTGTGTGCTGACGGAGTTGCACATGTTTGACTCCTGTAGCCTGCTTCAGCTCAGGGCTGCAGAGCAGAGCTTGCCTTGCAATTTCACCTTCTTCCTCTTGTAGACTGCCATGGTGCTGGGCATATGAAGGGAGAGTAGGGAGACTGTCCATTGGTATAGTGAGGGGGGTGGAAGGAGCAGTTGCCCCATGGCACCATGATAGGGTGAGCGCAGGGAGAACTGTGCGAGTTGGTCTGATGTGGCCGCAGCCGCAGGTGCTGCGGCGAGACTGGGCAGTCCTAGATCCGCCTGCACCGTTCTCCCTGTGCTCACCTTAGTGTGGCGTGGGGGTTGGGGGCTGGAGAACTGCCCCCCCCCAGATCCCTCGCTACGCCACTGAGACTGTCTTGATTTATGCTCATTGGGACCTCATTCCCCTAGCCTGAAGAGCATGGAGGAGAAAATAGCAGCTTGATTAAAATGCTTACAGGTGAACAACCAGGGAACAGATGCAAGGCAGGGTGGGGAGATAGAGGCAGGAAAGGAGTAGGAGTAGAGGGAGGGAGAGGATAGGCCCATGAGATGGAAGAAGGGCAGGTATCCAGGGAATTGGAAAGGATAGGGGCCAGGAGTGAGGGGTTTGAATAGGAGTGGTTATGTGGGTGCATGGGAAATGACAAGGCCAGGAACTGGCAGAGTTTGTAATGCGGGGTGCGGCGCAAGGAGGGTTTAAGGTAGCAGGAGGAGTGGTAAGTAAAAGAGCAGGTGAGAAGGAGAAGGTCAGGAGAGGGAACCAGGGAGGGAAGGTGGAAGCAAGTGAGATACAGGAGACAGAGTTGAGGTTAGCAGCAGTAGAGAGAGATGGACAGGAGCTTTGAAGAAGTGGCAAATTTGAGCAGAAAGAAAGAGGCTGGTCTGATAATAAAGAAAGGTCTGTATACACTGGAGAGCACTCCCCCAGAGCATAGAATTGAATTGCTGAGTCTCTACATGGCTTTGCTGTTTAGTAAATAGCTATAAACGTAATAGCCAAGTGTATGTCACATCCCCCTCTCTAGTGGCAGGTCTGCATAGAGGAGAAGAATCTTCTACAGTTACCACTTACCCTGCTCAAGTGCAGAGGGGCTGTGCTGTGATTCTAAAGAGTCCTTGCCTGCTGCTGACTTAAATTGGGGTCAGTGTGATTCCTCATGATGAAATTCTTGCTCTTTCAGTTGGCTTAGGAAAAAGTATTATGCTTAAGTTGTAAAGTCAAGCACTCAAAAGTTATGAAATGCCAGAATTAAAGTTAACCAATTAAGTGGGATCCCTCTCCAATCTTTCTGCACTTGGGGCTGCTGGCCCCACTCCCATGCCTCTCCCTGTCCTCCTAAGCTTGGGGCCACTACACTGATTCCTGAAGTGTTAACAACTGACAATTGACTAACTACTAGGAATTTTATGGATTATGATGTGCAGTATACTGTGAAGAAAGGAGGGTGTCTGGTTACTAGGTGTCAGGCAGGATAATCTGGGATTATTGTCTGGTAATATATTTGTTTCCATTGATCTCTTTCAGTTATTTAATCAAATGTGTCTATTTAGTTTGGGAATTCAATATATGTTATATAATTATATGGACCATCTTACTATATTATTTAAGAACTCCACCATTTTTACTATGCTCATCTTCACAAACATCTCTGTGAGGTAAGAAAGTACTGCTATGCAGTAGTACTTTATGCAGATGGAGAAGTAAAGTGCAGACAGACTGAGCAACTTGCTCAAGTTGACATGGGAAGTCTGTGGTGGAGTTAGCAAGTTTGAATCTCCCAAGTCCTGGGTTAGTGCTTTAACCGCAGGACTGCCCTTTTCTGCTACTAGCTGTTTTCTAAGTGGTTACTGTGCAAAGCGGAGCTCCGTTTTTTGCTGTTGAAAATTGTGGCTGATTATATTTGTTCAGAGATTAGTGGTTAAATTAAAATAGCAGCATCTTGCTTTACATTTCAATATGTGTCATCAGTTTGTGATCATTGTATTGAAAGAGAAACCTATAAAATGTAATTCTCATGTATTTTCTTTTTACAGATGTGGTGACTAGAAGAACCTCTCTTTTTGTTCATAGCATATATAGTGCCTTATAAAGATGGGGTTTGGAAGTGACCTAAAATATTCTCATGATGCTTTGTTAAAATTGCAAGATTGGGAGTTACGATTACTAGAAACTGTGAAGAAATTTATGGCCATGAGAGTAAAAAGTGACAAAGAATATGCATCCACTTTACAAAATCTTTGTAATCAAGTTGATAAAGAGAGTACTTCCCAACTGGATTATATTAGCAATGTATCCAAGGTAAGAAAAGATTATTTAAAAATTAAAATTGGCGTGTTATTGTTTTAATTATTATGTTAACTCCTTTTTCTGCATTGTAAAGTCATCTCTAAGATGAACTTCAAAAGTGTTTCATTGTCCTTTGGTGTTTGTCCTTTTGGGGGTGAATCCCTTATGCTACCCTGAGTCTTGTGTTCCATCTTCTTCATTCTCCCACCTTTTCCATTTTCATTCTTTGTTAAGCCAGATGTAATTCTGCTTCAACAGTGGCCACTGGATTCCATTCATGCAGCTTCTTGAGAGTTAGTTTTAGTAAAGAGGTTGAAGTATGTCTGCTACAGTCCCGGGGCAGAATGTGTTATGAAACTTCTCTGCTTGAACTGAAAAAAAAGGACCAAGCTAGAATCTTTAATTTTGATCTCTGGTATTGTAGACTCTGGGGTACATAGGAACGGCTGTACTGAGTCAGACCAAAGGTCCTTCTAGCCCAGTATCCTGTCTGCCGACAGTGGCCAGCACCAGGTGCCCCAGAGAGGGTGGACTGAAGACAATGATCAAGCGATTTGTCTCCTGCCATCTCTCTCCAGCCTCTGAAAAACAGAGGCCAAGGACACCATTTTATCCCCTGGCTAATAGCCTTTTATGGACCTAACCTCCATGAAATTATCTAGCTTCTCTTTAAACTCTGTTATAATCCTAGTCTTCACAGCCTTCTCTGGCAAGGAGTTCCACAGGTTGACTACACGCTGTGTGAAGAAGAACTTTCTTTTATTAGTTTTAAACCTGCTACCCATTAATTTCATTTGGTGTCCTCTAGTTCTTCTATTATGGGAACTAATAAATAACGTTTCTTTATCAGCCCTCTCCATACCACTCATGATTTTATAGACCTCTATCATATCCCCCCTCAGTCTCCTCTTTTCTAAACTGAAAAGTCCCAGTCGCTTTAACCTCTCCTCATATGGGACCCGTTCCAAACCCCTAATCATTTTAGTTGCCCTTTTCTGAACCCTTTCCAAGGCCAAAATATCTTTTTTGAGGTGAGGAAACCACATCTATACACAGTATTCAAGATGTGGGCGTACTATAGTTTTATACAGGGGCAGTAAGATATTCTGGGTCTTATTTTCTATCCCTTTCCTAATAATTCCTAGCATCCTATTTGCCTTCTTGACCCCCGCTGCACACTGCGTGGAAGTTTTCAGAGAACTGTCCACGATAACTCCAAGATCGCTTACCTGATTTGTCATAGCCAAATTAGCCTCCATCATACTGTACGTATAGTTGGGGTTATTTTTCCCGATGTGCATTACTTTACATTTATCCACATTAAATTTCATTTGCCATTTTGTTGCCCAGTCACTCAGTTTGGTGAGATCTTCTTGGAGTCCCTCACAGTCTGCTTCTGTCTTGACTATCCTAAACAGTTTGGTATCATCTGCAAACTTTACTACCTCACTGCTTACCCCTTTCTCCAGATCATTTATGAATAAGTTGAATAGGATTGGTCCCAGGACTGACCCTTGGGGTGCACCACTAGTTACCCCTCTCCAATCTGAAAATTTACCATTTATTCCTACCCTTTGTTTCCTGTCTTTTAACCAGTTCTCAATCCAAGAAAGGACTTTCCCTCTTATCCCATTGCCATGTAATTTACACAAGAGCCTTTGGTGAGGGACCTTGTCAAAGGCTTTCTGAAAATTCAAGTATACTATATCTACTGGATCCCCCTTATCCGCATGTTTGTTAACCCCTTCAAAGAACTCTAATAGATTAGTAAGACAGGATTTCCCTTTACAGAAACCATGGTAACTTTTGTCCAACAAATTATGTAACCCATATAATGTTATGTTTAGAGGGGTTAGCATTAGACTATATTGAAGTAAGATTTTTTTAAAGAGTTAAATAGAAACTATTGTTCATGTAATTTAAAGGCTGTGACAAAAATAGAAAAAAAGCCAGGAAATTCAGAGCTAAGGCTGACATTCTGACTATTATTCACACCACAGTGTGTAGTTGTAAAAACAAAGCATTGATTAAGGCCAGAGTTTCTCAAGACTTTTTCTCATAATTGTAATATTGTTAAACATAGTATTTTTGTAGTTTTTTTTAAAAGCTTGCTTTTTTAACAAAAAATAGAAACCGTGTGGCAGTGGCTTCCACACTTCACCTGTTACTAAGCCTTAGGTCAGTGGTAGTGAATTGTTACTAACCAGTTGGTCCACTTAGCCTTATCCACATCTTCATTCCAAAATAAGAGGCATTTATATTTATAATATAAAACAAGAAAATGACACTGGTTACTGGCAACACCTAGATTTCTCTTATTGCAGCTTTCTGTATGTATATTTGAGTGATATATTCTAAATCTAGTTAACTAATTAAAAAGCCGTTAAATAGCCGTTAGCTAAGTAAAACTTTTTTCATAGCAATATCCAGCACAGTAAAAAAACTTGGGAATTTACTTGTCAAATCATACTTGTACTATAAGACAGAGAGAGAGAGAGTCTTGAAGAATGATGCATTGCAAAGTGAATTGTTACTAACCAGTTGGTCCACTTAGTCATATCCACATCTTCATCCACATCATTTTCTCCCAGTAAGCAATTTTCCTTATGATGTTTTACTCTTGTAGCTAAGTCCTGCATCATCTTCTTGTACTGCTTATACTTGACACATTTTCTTTCTTTACTCAAAGAATGAATTTCTTCCAAATATTCCCAGATAAGGTCTGTCTTATGCCCAAAATAGGGATGTAAGCGACTCGTCGACTACTTGATAGGCAAAAGCTTATTGAATAGTTGGCATACTGGTCGATAAGTCACTCGTCCCCCTTGCTGCCTCTATCAGAAAAAGGCAGCAGCTGGGGTTGGAAGATGGGGTGCTGGGGGGAGCCTGCTTAAAAGCCGGCTCGCTCAGCTCTGTGGTAGGGGTAGGGGCACGGGTAGCATTCCACCTTTGAAATGTACAAGAGTCCCCACTATGCTCTTCTGCTTCGAAATGTACAAGAGCCTTAGCAGGAGCTCTTACATATTTCAAAGGTGGAATGCAGCACAGCACTTCTGCCTTTGAAATGTAGCAACAGACGGGTGGACTCTTATCAACTAATAGAAGTGCCCTTATCAACTAATTGAATGTAGTTGATGGAAATTCACTCCATTGTTCCTTTCTATGCTCCTTCCGTCCTTTCCTATATATTGTGTCTCTAAGACTAGGTCTTAACTAACTCCTCTGCAGTGCTTGGCCATGGTCCATCACCACAAAAGCACAGAACAAAAATAATACTGTCTAGGTTGTCTTCCTTTCTACATGTTACTTTTTAGTCTGCTGAGAAACAAAAATTCAAAGCCTGGAATTTTCAAGAAGTAAGAGCTAGTAGTTAGCCTGGACAGATTAGAACCATTAATTCATTTTTCTGAGACTGTAAGTGTATGTGTAACATGTTTGTGACGAGAATTAATTGTAATTGTTATTTTTAAAAGAGAAATTTAGTATTTTATTGAATTAAAAAATAAAACCAGTTTTAATAAATACATCTTGATTTTTAAACCATCAGTTTTTATTAACTCTGGTTATAGATCTGTGAGCTTAGCATTGATCCAGGGCAAAGTAATGCAGTGGCTCATACAAGACTTGATTGATAAAGCAGTTAAAGCAGTCAAAACAATTTTGTGGAAATCACACTTATCAAAGTACCTTTATAGCTTATTTTGTTGACATTGCAAGGTTGGGTGATAAAAGAATAACATTGATGTAATAGGCTTCTCTAAGAACTGATTTGGTATCACATGGGACATTCTGATTAAGAAATTACAACAATGCAAATTTAACATGGCACCCATTAAATGGTTTAAAACTCGCTATTTAATGTAACTGTTAATGGGATTAATCATTGAGTAGGTATGTTTCTAGTGAGATTCCACAGAGATTGGTTGTTGACCACACACGATTTAACATTTTTATCAATGACCTGGAAGAAAATATAAAACTTATTGATGGTAGATAATGAAAAGGACAAGTGACTAATTCATAGTTATCTGAATTGCTTGATAAACTTGGTGCAAGCAATACTACGTAATTTAATTTGACCAAGTGTAAAAGTCATACATCTAGGAACAAAGAATGTAGGCCATACTTAGAAGATGGAGATTTTGTCTTGGGACACAGTGACTCAGAAAAAGAGGAGGTGTGAAGGTGGATAATCAGCTGAACATGAGCAACCTGAGTGACAGTGAGGTCAAAGGGCTGATGTAATCTTGGGATGTATAAACGGGAAAATCTTCAGTAGGAATAGGGAGGTTATATTACTTGTCAAGTGAACACTGGTTTGACTGCTCTTGGAATGCTGTGTCCAGTACTAATTCCTACAGTTAAAAGATGATGATAAATTGGAGGGAATTCAGAGGAGACCCAGAAGAATGTTTAAATATTTAGAAAACATGTAGATGCCACTTGCCATCTTGGCACCAATTTTCGCTTATGCAGCACTGATCTCTGTCTCCAAACCTGGTTACCATCAATGTTTTCATTAATCTTTTCTGTCCATGTGTAGATTTTTTCCATCCATGTGCAGAATAAACTTCCGTGTGCAGTAGGGATGTAAAATCCTGGTTGTTGATCTAACTGGTTAAAAGTTAGGTTTATTTAGCATTTAACTGGTTAACTGACTAAAGCAGGATCCCAGGCTGGAGACTGCTTCAGTCTGACTGGAGCAGTCCCCAGCCCATGGGGCCCTCTGCCCCCCTGTATGCTGCAGCTAGGGCTGCTGTCAGGTCCCAGCTGCCAGCCCCCAACCACCCTGGAACAGCTCCTGTCTGCGGCTAGTGAAGACTTTCCACAGACAGAGGCTACTCCATAGGAGCAACCCATGCTGTGGGACACCTGGGCCTGCTCTGGACAAGAGCAGCCCCTGTCTTCAGTGGGCCTCTTGCAGGGCAGGAACCAACCACTAGTCAATGGCAGGTAGGGAGCTGCTGCAGCCCCCTTTGGTTAATGCTTAACTGAAACTGGTAAGCATTACC